CATGCCCAAATCATAATAGCGTTCGTGTTCCTAGAGCATACGGTCACCAGAGCATCCATGCCCAAACCATACTAACGTGGCTGTGATTTGGGCCAGTAGGCAGACATCCAGCATCAAGCAATGGCTGTCTTGAGTGAGCACAAAAGAGCCTCGGCCTGAGAGGGTGGGCACTTGCGCGAAAATCATTATTTTTTTTTCTCGCACGGGTTCCCATTGCTACCATGTCTACGAAACACTGTCGGGAATGGGCGGTTGTTATTGTTCTCGATACTGGTACAATTTTTATTATTTTTTCATTTTATTGGACGTAGTATTAATCTGTTTTTCAGGATTTTTGATTATCAGCCCGGTGTTTTGATTATACTTTGATTGTTGAGCATGTCTATTATTACTCCTGCTATATTACTGTCCTCAACATCAGCCCCCGCTCTTTACCAACAAGTAAACGCAATGCCTACCAACCATGTTTGAACCCAACAAGAAGTTCTCAGCTTCATGCATGTTTTGTACCGAGAAGCGGGGGGGCTACGCACCCCCCAGCCCCCTCTCCGTTTTTGAAAATAATGCTGACGCAGACCCAAGCACACGACAGATTTGCATTTGGCGTGGAACACGGACCAAAAGCGCAGACAGTTCTGCATTTTTGCGACGACAAGGCCCCAAAAAGTGACAGCAATTCTGTCCATGACAACGAGCCCCCGAAAGGGACAACATTTTGCATTTTGTTAAAGTGAGTTTCCAACAGCGACGACGGTGTATGTTTGCGACCTGGCAAACTCCAAATGCAGTAGTTCGCAGCATCTTTATCCCTGGTTTGTTTTTCTAACCCAAATCAGTGTCGTTGATACTGATTTTCATGTTTATCCTTATTTAGACATTGCCTTTCGACTGTTCTTCGCTATTTAGTTTCTTATCTGCCTAGTTTCTTAGCCCCCACCCTTTTCATTTCAGCAGGTTTGACCGCGGCCCTTGAACATCTAATCCGTAGCCTTCTGCAGGCTCTTTGCCGGTGTGGGCTTCCTGCAGAGAGGACAGCTCTGTGCGGGGACTTCAGGATGATTTCAGGGTTTTGACTCCTTCGTGAGGTGTCGGGAGTGGACTTGGGCCCACATTCATGGAAAGCGTGGCCTGAGTCAGGATTTTGTCACCGAATGTTGTGCCAGAGGTTGCCTCAGCCCTGCTGCTGATCTTCATTTAATGGCCTGACAGGGTACTTGCTTCATTCCTTTGGGAGGGAAGGTCAGAGGCACTGGAAATACAGGTTGCCGTGCTTGCCGACTGTTTGCTGCACAGGTTTGCAATGGCATTTCTTGGAAGGGAAATTGTGCATATTGTGCAGTCACTGGACTAGGGTCTCTACAGCAGCAATGGAATTTTGCATTAGCTAGAGTTAGAACTTGTATCCTTTTGCCCCAAGGGCCCAGCGGGGAATCTCCAGCTGGTGTGGTCGAGTGCAGGCACCAACAGTGACGTCTCTGCTTCTCTTCAGGGTCTGCGTCACAAGAAGCCCAAAGCTATGCAGTGCAAGAGACTGCGATGTCTGCTGTTCTGCAGTTGCCAGCAACAGTAGGCTCAAAGCGTAGGTCACGCTGTCTGGAGCACATGTGTCACTCATCTTGTTGGCGTCGAGAGCAGGGTTGGCAATGATGCGCTATGCAAGGATTTCCTTCGCTCGCCAGAAGTGGCCGGCATGCTTGACCTTCTGTACCTGGATTACACAGGCAACTGTTTGCGGATTTGTCCTCCGAATGATCGCATCCCAAACCTGAATCATATTAAACCAACAAGGAATATATGAAAGGAAAAATAATCCTTCCCCCTAACGCGGGTTTGATCTTCATAAGCTGGACCCTGCTTGTGCCTGTGCTTTGCAGTTGATCTGCCAATGCAAATCTTTGGGCGGCCTGGAGGTTGCCTGGCCTCCAGGGCATCGCATCTCAGGCTGGACCTTGTCTGTCAGAAGAGGTCTTAGGCCAAGAAGGTTTCTGTGAAGATTTGCATGCCGAATCATGCTGTAACAGCTCAAGAATGTCACCCTTGAGGCCGGCCTTGCGTGCTTTACGTCCAGGAGGAGTGCTGGCCTGTACGCCTTTCAGCAGGCTTAGGGACTGGGCCTCCAGGGACGGGCTTGTGCAGAGGGGCACACCTGTTCCCTCGACAGCCGTTGTAGATATGTAGATTTTTCATGCTGGAGCAGGGAGGCTTCCCCAATCATTGTCCCCAGCCCTGTTGCGAGAGGTGGCTTTAGTTTGCAAGGCCAGTGGATGCTGAGAGAGCAAAGCAGCGCAGCAGCGACCCAGAGCCCAGATCAGCCCAGGTTTTCTATGAGGCACTCGCCCGTGGAGGACTGGCGGTGGTAGATTTGCAGCAACCTGTCGAGCACCTTGAAATACCTCGAACGCCTTGAACCCAATGACGCAGCTTGACAAGCTTGCCTAGGACCATGAAACTGGAGTGGGCGGGCCAGGTTCAAGGATGAATAGATTACCTGTAATGGAACAGTAACAGCCAGCACACGGAGATACACGAAGCGAGATCTGTTGCGATGAAAGATGTGGGAGGATGAAGTCAGCAGCGGCCTGCTGCCAAGGCAGCCTGCTGGCCGGGGCCTCACATAGGACATCCTCATGCACAAAAGTTGGGAAAGCTGATGAACTTGGAATGCGGAATCACGATTTGTCGAGAGCCGCTGCAAGTTATTCTGAGCTTGATGCTGGGAAGCAGTCACGTTATGTCTTCTTGCTCCAGCTTGAAGCTGTGAAGGGGGAGGGGGGAGGAGATCGACAGCACCATGCTACTGATGTTCTGTAACGTGCAACATTGAGCGCTCCACAGACACGGCACAGCTAAGATTGGGACAGGTCGGGATGACACGTAAACAAAAGGCAGGCCTGAAGAGTCTTGACCAGCATCAGTTTCAGAATCTCGTGTCATCCTCGTCTGATCGAAGGTCCTCGTTTCTGACGTAGGTTGTACAACCGCAATCTGTCGTGCCCAAAATGCTGTCATCAGCAACAGTTGTCGCCCTCATGGTCAGTGTCAGCATCACCGCTACCCACCTTTCGCGTCAACTGCTAGAATGTCTCGGTGATCATGGAATAAGATCCATGGGTTGTCCCCTATCTACCATGTATCGTTGTCACGAATGTCATTTTGGCAGAGTCATCTCAACCTCAGCCTCGGCAGCTTGTGTCTTTCATCTCCAGCCTTCTTCGTCCTCCTATGTATCATGAGCAACCAACTGGCACAGCGGCATCTCGAGGCTGGAGCCACAGCCACGCCCTGCACGCGCTGGCTCATGGCCTGCTCAGTGCGGCTTCTGCGCTTGGGCGTGGGCTGGAAAGTGCATGCCTTCCAGGGCTGATTCTGGACGTCAAGAGCGGTAAGATTGCCAACCTCGTTTTTTGGTAAACTTATTTCAGAGCTTCCGCATACATTTACCATCTATTCCGCGTTTGCATACATGTGTCACCGTATAGCGTGCCACACCCAGAAGATTGAACCATACAACAATTGCTTCCAAAGAATCAGTGTCAGTGGCACACAGAGCACCCCAATTGCCAAGCATGCAAGGAATGATTATGATTTCTTTGGAAACAAATCTGTCCTGGCCTCGCAGATGAACGCGTGCATCAGCGCCCCTTGGCGTGCAAGTGCCATGAGTTCTGGCTCAACTCAGGGGATTAACCAAAGTGCCGTTGCACAGCCCGGGATCCTGCCAAGGACGCAGAGAAGAACACCGGACTGGCCATCAGAGCCCTTGATGAAGGCGACATTCCCACACTTGCCGAGGCTTCGCTTATGCCAATGTGCATGTGTCTTGCTGCCCTGATGTGCTTACCTGCTTTGTGGCTTGCGCGAGCAGGCCCTAATGGCTTGGGCGCACGAACCTGGAGAGCTGCCCTGGCTTCGACCTGGCGTGGCTACTTGGCTGTCATGTGGTTCAATCATGCTAGAACTTGCTTTTCATCGCCAGATGCCCTTTTCTTCAGCTATGTTTCTTGAGTCGAGCATATCAAGCTTGGCCTGTGGTGCTGGTACAGAACCCATCTCGCAGCAGAACCCATCTTGCAGCAGGAGCATGGATGTATCGTGGCATGTTGCTTTACCCATCGAGAGGTATGGGCAGAAACATGAGTTCGGCACCGGCCACTTCACAAGTTTTAAAGACAAGTGTTTGTTGATTGCAAATGACTTCGCCATGATTATGGAGCGTAGGCTACATAGAGGTGGCAAACTGAAAATTTAAGCCGACATTGCCAGGCTGAGTTTTTTCGCTCAGGCCTAGCTCCCTCAAGCGGTGTTTGCACTCAATGCAATATGTGGCTAGATCTAAAATACATACAGGTGTGTTGCTGTTGACCAATGTCTGCTACAATTATTTTTTGTGTGATTTCACAGTCTCGAAATGCCGTGTAGTCGCCAAAGCCAGGGGCTGGCAGCTGAAAGGGTCCTACGCGCCTGCCGAGGAGGAGAGGGCAGTTCCTTACTTGGGCACATCTCAGCTCTTCTCAGCGCATGCCTTGGTCGGGATGTTACACGTAGCTCCTGCGCCATGCACAGTACATCACAGTAGATTGGCAAGTGCACCTGGCGGGCCCGCATTGCGCAGGATTTTGTTTACCACCAATGTGTTCCATTGCTTGATTGCTTGCTTGCTTGCTTGCTTGCTTCCTAACCCACCAAAATCACCAGAGGACAGCTGGGATGTGCTTGGCGTAGTGGCGACGAAGGCCGATCAATTTGCGTTGTTGGCGTTGAGCTCCAATCACTTATGCACAGAGGTACTGACTTCAAGCAACAAGATGCGAAAGCAAATGCATAGAGAGAGAGAGAGAGAGTGAACTTTTTTTGTTACCGTCTTGTTAGTCATGTTTGCGAGCCCACTGATGTAACCCCTCAGTTCCACGTGAAAATCGATACAACGCTGGGGAGGGCTAAATGCCCGGTGCCTCGTGCATCATTCCCTTTGCCAAAGCCAAAGAGAGTCACACTCGCACAGATATCTGTGTAGATGTACGAGAACTTATGCATACGGAGTAGCAGGCATACACGCATAGATCAAAATGAGGATTGTTGCGCTCCCACACACACATGTGCCCGCGTGCACAGCCAATTCGGCTATGCCACGTGAAAGATCCTTTGAGGGTTTTGGCATGTAATGTAAGTTGTATCATTATTTGTGCACTTGCATTGGCTTTTGTTGGGTAGTTTGCCGTGCTACCCATGGTACCGAAATGCTAAATCGCATATGGTTTCTGGTCATCCCAATTTTGCCACGATGTGCCTACAAGCCAAGGAATCAAGGACCTCTCTTTTGTGTAGATCTGAACATCATGTGAGCAGAGATCAAAATCCTCTAGTGGGGAACCCATGAGCGAATGGCGGTAAGGAGCTTGTCGTCGCGTAAGCAAAAATCGTGCCGTATGTTGCGCCGTAAGCGCCGTAAGCTCTAATTTCGGGTTCTCCACGTTGCCACCGTAAGCGCATGTAAGCGCCGTAAGCTAAACCTTGGGTTTCGTAAGCCACCGNNACCGCAAGCAAATTCCTTACCGTCATAAAACCGGATAAGAATTTTGACCCCCGCTCACGTGGACCCCATATACTTTGGCAAGAACATGTACGGCAAGGGTCTAGGACGAAAAACATCCGCAATCTTAGGTAAACCCCTTGAGTTTCTTGGACATTTTCTAGTACTCAACCCTTATGAGATCAGCAAATTCGTGGGCGGCGACGAAATCCTAAACCCTTTGCATGAAGGAACATACACTCGCACTATATCCATTCATGAAAAGTGGTGGGGACCGGACTAACAATGCAGCTTCTGGAGTTCTCCGATCTCTCCATCAGGGAATAGTTCAGACTTGGGCTCCGAAATTGAAATACACAAGCGCTGCCCCCTTTACGTCGAGCAGCAGTTCTGCTCTCTGACAACCATCGTGTGCTTCGTGGATCAATGGCTTTCGCAGGACAACAGCAATCATTGAACCCGCTAAGACTTCTCACATACAGGGGTCTCATTAGAGTGCAGAAAGATGAGTCTTGCCCATTGCAGCGACCATGAAGTGTGCAAGCTGGTGCTCAAACTGTGCATAATATCAGCAGAATTTCGGGACCCTTCGATAAGACTTTTGGTTTGCCTTTCACTTCTGTTTTGAGTTCTCTTCGTCAACATGACATAGCTGCGTGCCGGCAATCATTTTTGAGTTGTTCGATGACACTTTCTTACCTGGCATTCGCCCTTTTGGCTGTGGAATGTTGCTGCCTGCAGAAGAATCGGTTTCACGCGTTGCGAAGTTAACGATTTCCCAAGATTTGACTCGCACTTGCTAGTTTCTCTCAACGACTCGCGCGTCGAGAAAAACGCCATGATTGATGCGGCATGATCCGGCTACAGCTTCACCAGGGTCCCATTCAGGATCAGGATTGGTGTCTGCGTGTAGATGTTCGGCACTTTATTTCTGCTTGGCTAACAGTCGTCTCCCGTAGATGATTTACTGCAGCTGAGACCTGGATACACACAGTTTACTTTGGGAAGCGTGAAGAAGCATCAGAGCCTCTGCGTCCCAATGATGCAGTTTCAAGTAAGATGTCATATGGCCTGTGCACGTCTATAGGGTACGGCTCTGGGTAATTAGCCTTCACAGAGCATTCCCATGGAATCCTGAAGCCGCAAGGTCGTGGCAGCCCGCATTGCTTGCTGGGTGCGCAGGGAGCTGTGCAGGAGCAACGCGTCTTTGGATCAATAAGCTGCTTGGGGCCTTTGAGCCCAAGGCCCGTTTGATGATCTCGAAGAAGCCTGCGACCTAATTTGCATACCACTCGTTGACAGTTGACAGAGTTGTCTCAGCATGCCTGGCCAGGACAATGACTTGACCACTCTGCGGAAGGCGGCTGTTGCTTTGCGACAGCAGGTGGCTGGGCTGGAGAAAGTTCATCATTCGCAGATTTTGCTGTGCTGTCGGTGTCCTACCAAAAAAACCAGCACGTGGCTTGTCGTAGTGAGTTTGGACCCAGGCTGCGCAATCCTCCCGTGACCTTAGCCTTAGAATCAAAAGCTCAGGGGGGCGTCGCTTCAAAACATGGGTTAGCAGCCCAGCGCCCAACCTTCACCTTCCGGCGCAGCGTCGCGGTCTACCCAGCCCTTTGGCCAAAGACACGTTGCTTTGCCAGAGGCTGACATCTGCCATGCGCGAACTCTGGAGCAATCTTCAAGCCTCAGCCTTGCTCTAAGGAGGAGATGATGTTTTTTGTGGTGCGATGCGAGAGGTAAAATGCGACGCGCCGCGATCAGCAGCACGGAGGGTTCTTGAAGGAATTTGCACAAGCCCTTGCATCAACGTTTTCTCATCAAGCTGCAAGCTGGACGCAGCAAGCCACATGCACATAGGCCCTCAGGCAGACATTGCCTGTTCCAGCCGGCGTTTTTTTGCCTCTAGACAACTCATGCCAGAACTGTCTGTTGAGTGCTTGCTTGTTCCGTATATCCATGCTCCGCGGGGACATGTATTGCAATATATTGTTATGGTCATGATAGGTGTCGCGCGCGCTACTACGAGTTGCCACATACTTCCCCTAGCTCGTTGGGCAGGGGCAGGACAGATGAGTCCGGAACTAAGCAGGCCGAAGCCGGCTCAGACTCCACAACACAACCTAAGCAGATGGCATCACATGCCGCTTAGCTTTAGCAGCAGCGCCGTGCCGCCTTGATGGAGCCTTGGCTTCAGTATGGCATGAGTCTGAAGTGTGATCATGTCTTCAAGTTCTTCCAGGCCATTGTAGAACTGCTGCAGCAGATGTTCTGGGGTTGGCCACGCAAGATGCCAAAGGCAAGTCACAAATTCGACCCGTTGTGGCTCCGCCTGCGTGATCAGGCAGGAGCAATGATCCGCACTTTTTGAGCTGCGCAAGGTTTCAGGCATCCAGGGTTGTCACATATTCAAGGACTTGATGGTGTGGGGTACATCGCACTGTTGCAATAATTTGTTTGCATATGACGTTGATCAGCGCATAAGCTGGTGCCCACAAGCTTCACAGATGTCCTGCACACGTCGCTGGCACAGCTCCGTGAGTCACCTTCCTGACCTCATGGAACGTGCGCCGCTGGAGTCCTGCTATTCTTTAGCCATGGGTTCCGCTGCTGCTGAGTGGACCCCCTCCCCTCCTCCCCTGCCCCCTCCGCTGCGCCTGGGCTGATTGCTGCGCGCGGGCTGCTCAGCAAACAAGCAAGGTTTTCTGATGTATGTATGGGCATGGTGTTGACGTCGCTCAGTTCTTCAAAAAAACATGACTAGCCCATCATGTGTAGTGCAAGGGGCCACTTCCAGATTCAAACCCAAGGGAGAAATTCTGGGATCCGGTAAGTTGTGGCCACAGCTAGTGCTGCGGCAATGCCCGAGGTCTTGCCATGGCAAAGGCGACCTTGCTGTGGTTCTTCGGCTATCGGAAGTGTGACGCCAGTCTTGACAGCAGTAGCGCCAATATACACAGTTGAGATCCTTAATCCTGTCTAGGACCAGCGTGAGCTTGGTGCAGCAAAGGAAAGCTGCGAAGAGTACAGCACTTCTGGTTGGTTCGATGCAGATGATGTGTGGTATTGAAGCTTGGCAGCACAGATCATGAAACATCGGCTCCGCAGACAGCTCATTGCATCTGTTCAGAGTTGTGCAGCCGGCCATGTGTAGGCTCTGTGCTACCCTGGAAGCCCAGGCGAAGAATGCCAAATGAACTGCGTTTTGGACCTTTTCTCCGATGAGCCAGTTCCGGTGCCTTTTCATCACTGAAAGCTGTGGTCTACATGACATGAGTATCACATGGTCTTGTGCTGAATGGAGGCAACGGGCTGCAGGCAGAAATTCGAACTGCCCTTGTCATTCTTGCAGCTTGAGGTACTCTGTGCGTTCTAATTCGACATTTTTCGGGATTGAGGGAAGGACTCACGGATCCTCGCGATGTCTTACATCTGTCGCAACACTTGCCGAGAACGGGCTAGCAGAGTTTCCCAAGTCAGGGCTGGTGTCCTGGCGAGGGCTTTGCAACTGTGCCCTGAAGCGGATGGGTTTTGACGCAACATCGGCTGGTTCAGCGCCCTATTGCAGAAGCAATTGGGATGCCTAATTAGAGGTGTAAGTGATTTAACAGGAAGGATCGGAAATGGATTGGCACGCAATTGTTTGGCAACCGCATCGGTCAGTATGAATGCCAAAGAAAGACTGCAGGATGATGCGGGATGCTGTTTCATGTGAAGACATGAGAGCCTTTTTTTGGTCACGTAAACATGTGAACTACATGCATGCCCCATGATTCCATTGCCAGCATACTATGTTCTGCCCTTGCGGGTGGTGCGTGGGGCCAGCGTCTTTTGTTGGGGTTTCAGACCCCTACCCGGCCTGTTCACCCTAGAATTTTGATCTCCACATTGACTGCAAACTCTAGGTGGGTGTGTTTCCTGACCACTCGCGCCTTCGCTACGTTCAATGCATGGATACAACTGGCCCAAGCGTATGTAGCAATGGCAACGGGGTGTTTCCAAACAGCTTTGTTCTGAAAAAAAGTTTTTGTCTTGACAACAACCGCACCCTAAGAATGCCATCTCCGCCTGTATGTTGCACTTATGCAGAACCTTCAGGCTGAATCGTGGCTTCGATGTGGCATCCGCCGTGTGCTGCTGACGCAAACATCCGAATTTGTGAGCGAATCTAGATTTAAGACTGCCTGCAGCCTCCAGCAGTTTGCACCATGTGTTATGTGGCTTGATCGCACGCCATGGGAAGCTATCATGGGGAAAGTTGCCTTGATGCGTGGCAGGCAGGGGTCTGCCCTCATATCTCTGTGGCGGGCTTATCACTTAAGGTGCGCGAGCTTCCTGCGCTGGCGACGTCTCAGCTTCTCGTGTGCACGTGTCCGACCCTCAATTATGGAAATGACGGTGAAAGCTGTTATGAGACATCAGGGTCAGCAGTGCTGGGAAGGCAAGTTGTGCGACCTTGACAATGGCAAAGATCTTCGAAGTTGCAGCCTTTCTGTTCAGCACCTGTAGTTGCTGGAGAGAGCTGTATTCAACAGCGCAGATGCTAAACCTAAGCAGCGTAAAATCGAGGATTGGTCGTTTAAGTCCTTTAGGTTGATGTAGGATTTTACAAAGCCTGATCACGGCGCAACCTGTGGAAGGTGAGCTGGTGAAAGTCAGCGGACATGCCCCTTGGACTAAAACAAAGTAATGCGCAGTATTTAGATTCAGCACCTTGCAGGTTCTCCTAGTGGTCTGCCTCGCCAACATGCCTTCATTACGACATTTAGACTAAGCGATGCTGCACCGATGGTATTGAGCAGTTGCAGCACTCTTCTGTACTGCGGCTGGGGGTATGTCAAACTTGTGAAAGTGTACTAAACTTAGGGCCTGCAATACTGGCTGGCTGCCTCCCCTACCTGCCCCCAGACCTCAAATCCTGGCACCAAATTTTGCTGCTCGTCTCTGAATTTTTTGGGACAAAATGCAAACACATAGCTGCTTGCCAAACTTTTGTAGGATCCGCTGGTTTTGTGTTATGATGTAAAGTAGTTTTGCGCTGCTCAGCATGAATGAGGCTGAGACCATTTTGATTGGTGCTGCGTTTGTGACCGGATTTATCAGGCATGCCAGTTGCTTTTAAAGAAGGGGAAAATCGACATACCCGACTGGCACATCGCGCTGGGTTTCCGACCATCCCAGAGAAAAAGCCTGCCCTTACAAGAGCAAGTCTACGGCTGATCTTCTCGTACTTGACTTTCCCGTCTAATACGGAACGTCCGTAGGATCCTTCGGGCTTTTGCTGCAGATCGCAAAAAAGTCCTGCAGGCCGGCCTTTTCGGCGGTCGATTGATGTTGGCGGGGACTGGCATGGCACTCGGCTCTCTGTGGTCCCACTTGCAAGGACTGTCATGATCTTGGAAGCTTTGCGATGTTCGGCTAGAAGCGCGGGGCCACTCCGCCTGCGCCTAATTATGCAACTTGCCCGTCGCTCATCTGCTGAACGTATTTGTTTTTGCCAAGAGTTCGTTTTCCGATGACACCCGCTCCTTCAAGCCTAGTGGCTCAACACTTCGCGAAGCATTGCAGGAGGGGGCCATACCAGCTTGAAAGCAGAGCCTATGCAGGCTGTGAGCTTTAGGGTTCAGCAACTGAGTTTTGTCACGTTGACTCGAATTTTGCGCTGGGCGTAGCTCCTCAATTCTCAATTTGACTGCAGCATGCAACATCGTCTGCTGCCAGCTTCGGTCTGCGAGCGGAAGCATGCAAATCTTGCAGCAGACGTGGCTAAGCCTCCTTGTTTGCAGCCGTGGTCAGCTGTGACCGACATTGTGGCCAGATGGTTGTAGCACGTTGGTGCAGGTGGATGTCGCTGCTGCCGCGGCGACTGAGGCAGCCTTCGACGAGCCTTGGGTAGTGGTCGTGGATGGCAGCCGCATGGATGGAATTTGGCTTTTGGTTACAAGCCTGGGATGCTTGCTTGTGGATGTAGGAGGGCAGTATTTAGAGTCGAGAGCCATGCCCCCGTACCTTTCCCAGCTTTCCGGGCATCTCAGGGCCAGGGTGCTTTATCCCTGGCGATCCAGTAGAAGTCTTCGATGGCAGCTCATGCAGAAAAGGACAGGGGGGAGAGACAGAAGCAGCCCTGAATGAGCAGGGAGTGTATGCGCTGCTGGTATGCCAACTCAATGCCAACAACCAGAGGATGGCGGGGCATTGTCAAAGGCAAAGCTGGCGAAGGCCAGGGCGTGTTCTTGCAAGTTGCGCTGTTGCCACAGCGCAGAGCCTTTGTGGGCCTTAGTCTTCGATGGTTTGCGAGGATTCCAGGCTGCCCACGGTAGTCCCAAGAAGTTGAGAGCAGTGAAGGAAGCTACGTCGTGGAAGACCAGAACCAGAAGCTGCATAACGTGCCCGCCATGTTTTTGGGTTTGTGGAGGGAGATGCACGGTCCGTGTCTTCTTCCGACTTCTTCAGCTTCTGTGCTCTGGCTGGAGAGCCAGTGGAGAAGTTTAACGATTCCAGGAAGACCTGGAATTGTTGTTCGCGAAAAGAAATCGTGAAAGGGTGATGTGACCCCATTTGAGACACCGCTGTCTTGACCGTTCTATGTTGTCTCCAATGTGCGTACCTCAAGTCTGTTCCCGCAGACATTCATCCAAATCATCGCATGCAGCTAATGAATAATCCAGCAGGCTTTTGGGATTCAGGTTTGTGCGGGACAGGTTGTTTGGGCCGGGAAAGCGCAGCTTCTGTGTTTCCAGGCTCAGAGAATCCCCGCCAACTTGGGGGCGCCGTCGCTAAGCGGGAATCATCACTGTGGCTATGCCAGTCTTACTTCAATGTTTGCCTGAGAGGCCCTCCTATGCACAGAGGTAGCATACCCAGTCTACGGCTGTTGTGTTTGCTGCAGCTTCTCTGTTACTTGCAACTCTCCCTGCTTGGCATGTCTTAAATGCTGCGTAAATTCCCACAGATGTCACCCCAAACCCTGACGCCCCTAAGCCCTCAATCCCGCAAACCCCCCACAGCCGTGCCCTCACACATGCACAGGGTCTAACGTCAATTGAATTGGCTGTGATTTTGGGAGTGTGCTGCGCGAAATTTTGCGGGCCGGAATCATGCCATGCAACAAAGTTTCTGCTTCTCGGCCTCTACTCTGCCCAGCCTGATTGCGGATCCGGGGAAATCAGATTTTTCAGCTGCCATGGGCGCGGACTATCCGTGTCCCTCCCGTCGGCGACGCCAGCTGTTTCTTGTCTGGCTTAAAACGCGAGACCACCACTCCCTATCTTCAGCCACTTCCAAAATCTTGTGTTTGATGTCTCTTTCGTTACCTCTCCCGCCATAAAAATGGTCGAAGCGAGAATGAGCAGCTGTTCATTCCATTTAACTCTTCTTCTGCCTGCCCTGCAGGGCCCACCTAAGGTCTGAGGTTGTAGAAACCTGTCAAAAGTGACGATTCTGCAAGGATGTCGAACAGGCCTTCGCAGTATGTGACCCAACAACTTTAGTTGATGCAACCTGAGCTCATCGCTTAGAAATGTTTCGTTTAACTGTGCCCTTACCTCTTCGTTACTGACCCGTGGGATTCCGACCTGCATAGCGCCCCAAGTCGTTGGGATATTGGCAATCGAGCGCAAGCACTTGAAGTGAAAAGCGTCTAGCTGGTTCAAAAGCGTATCTGTCAGCCATAATGTAGAAAGGTTATACAAAAGCTTCGTGACAACGCAAGCCTTATAGATAGCCAGCTTCTTTCCTGTGGAGAGCCTGGCATACTTCCACACCCTAATGAGACTACGAAAAACTTGTCTCGCCTCTGCAATACGACGTCGGACCTCTGGACCGGGGCGGCCCATGTGGTCGATGAGCCCTCCCATATAAATAATACTTTACGTTTTTGGGACGGGAGTCCCATCGCTAAACGCCACTTCCTGCTCTGTATTGTAGGCAATGAGCCTCGTTTTGTCCTTATTGAGGTGTAAATTGTACTTAGCTGCTTCTTCCTGAACCAGCGCAAGGAGATCTTGCATCTGCTGTTGCGTCCTGCATATTAGTACTGTATCATCTGCAAACTCTATATCAAAGAAAGGTATGGCAGGGGTAATTGCGAGGGGGTGTAAAGCCAAGAAACGTTCCTGCACATCACTGAACAACACCGTTTGTAGGAGAATGAACAGCAATGGCGATAGAGTACAACCCTTGCGGATGCCGCTATTTTGATGGTAGGTTTCTGAAACATCTTCCCCCATCAAGACGCATTTTACCAGGAACTTTCAATCTGGCCAGTGCTAAGCGTAGAGCGTCTGGACGGATCTTATCAAAAGCCTTAGACCAGTCAAAAAACATCAAATAAAGAACTTGGTGGCGCTTAGCATCAACTAGATCCTGGAGTCTACGAACCAAAAATATAGCTTCTGCCGTGCTCCTCCCTTTCCTGAACCTCAGTGAGCCTGTTTGTAATGATACGCGCGTACAACTTGTAAGGTCCCAGCACGCTTGGAAGAGTTGTAATAAGGCCTCCAGGCCTTCACCCTGTAGATTCTTGAGCAACTCATTCTGGATTTGGTCCTTACCCCCTCTCTTGCCTGATTTAGATTGCTTGATGGCCATTATGACTTCGGCCATGGAAATGGCCGTGGTAGAAATGGTCGGTTCTGTGTCGATGACTGCGTTATGTCTCAAGCCCTGCGCTGGCCCAGCATCTGCCCATTGAACCTCTGCTAGATGTGTAGCGAAAACTGTAGCATTATCCGAGGTGGACGTCGTTTGTGTATTGTGTTCTGGGTAAAGGCGAACTGTGGCGCCTCGAAACGGTTTTTTGAGGTTGATAATGGGTCGCCAGTCTCCAGAGGCAAGCTGGGTATCCAGCCACGCTCGCTTGTCTTGTTTGGCAGCTCGTCTAATTTGCCGATTAAGATCAGCAACAGCCTCTAAATCGTCACCATCACGGTATTGTCCTCTACGTCGTATGAGATCACGGGTAGCTTCCGTAATCCAAGGCTTTCTAGGGAGCTGGTTTTGTTTTGGGATAGACGTCTCTAGAGAGTCAACGTAAATCTGCCTAAGTGTATCCCACTTGGTTGAAATATCCATGTTGGGTAGATCGGCTTCTTGGAGTTTCCTCTCTATTTCCCTATTCATGTCGGCAACCTGTTCGGGCGTGGCACTGTCAAAAGCCCAGCGCGTGTGTTTGGAGCCTCTAGGCTTTGCACCTAGCTTGGCCATGATATGCACATGTAGAGGAAAATGGTCAGAGTCAAGGTTTGCTCGCGGCTTGCTGTAAACGTTGTGACATGCGTTGCGCCACCTAACAGGCGTTAGACATAAATCCAGTTGGGCAAATTCTTGGGCAAATTCTGTTGAGTTCCAGTTATCATTACCTGCCGGTAGCTGCTTCGTGCCTGGCTCTTTGTAAGTTGCTTGTCGGCCATGCGGATGCTGGAACCATGTGTTTGCTACAAGTAGGTCATTGGCAACACATAAATCCAAAAGCATTTGCCGATTGCTGCTGTCATCTCCTATGGCAGCAATGCCCCTGCCGAATATAGAAGGTCCTAACACTGTCTCTTCGCCACGCAGCCTGCCTTGGATCCGAGCGTTGAAGTCTCCCACTACTACGAACAACCCTTTAGACTTAGCGACATCAATTTGATCGTGTAAGAGGTCGAAAAATTCTTGCCGCTCCTCGTCTGGCCTACCGTTCTGCGGAGCATAACCATTGAGAATGGAAAATTCCCCTGAAGCCGTGAGCAAAGTAATGCTGGCAAGCCTGCTGCTAACAGGATGCGTACGTAGAAGAACACGTCGAACGGTTGGACTTAGTACGAAACCTACGCCTGCATGTTCCTGATGATTGGGGTCAGCCGTACTCACCGTCAGAAAAGTATAGTTGTCAACGACGTACTGTGTAGTATTCTTAGATTTCGTTTCCTGTAGACATAAAACATGTAGGGAATGCTGCCTCATGTGCTGGATGATTTCTGTGTGCATGGCTGGTTTTAATAATGAACGCGTGTTGAAAGAGGCGAGTCTGATTTCATTTGCATACGGGATTGTTTGTATTATGTTTGCTGTTCTGCTGCTGCTGGGCGTCTCTGCGTATAAGCACGCGAGAGGTGCTGCACGTGCGTCTCTCGAAGGCTGGGAAACGGAGTGGTGAACTGGTGGGTGGTGACAGTTGCCCAAACTGCCCCGGTCTTCGTCTTCAGCTGGGCCGGCCAAATTAGCACAACACCATCTATAACCTCTTCGATGCTTAGCACGTGTGGCTACTCTGTTCGTTT